GTTTGCACGACGAATTACATTGTTTCTCACTCGCAATAATGTGTCTCTGTCACTTTTAACAATATCAAACGCGTTTATTATGCGCATTTTCAATTCGTCCGCGTTTCTAATTTCACTACCACTGTGGCCGTAAACTAAGTCCTTAACACGACCCCAAAGATAAAAATCTAAGGGAGTGAGGTCCGGGGATCGAGGTGGTGGCCATGCAATCGGTCCACCGCGGCCTATCCAGCGATTTGGATAGGCAACATCTAAATAGTCGCGAGCTGCTCTGTGATAGTGGGCTGGAGCTCCATCTTGCTGGTAATAATGTCCTCTTATTTCAGCAAGAGGAACATCTTCCAACATTTCTTCGACAGAATGGAGCAATTGAACATATGTTTCTCCGTTGAGGCGTTCCAAGAAGACAGGACCAAGTACCGTATTCCCTATTATTCCAGCCCACACGTTCACTGAGAATCGGTGCTGAAAGTGGTCAGGGATCACGGCTTTCGGGTTTTCGTACGCCCACCAGTGAGCGTTGTGAATATTGAACAATCCAACTCTGGTAAAAGTGGACTCGTCTGTCCACAAAATGTTGCGAGTTGGGTTTTCTATTAGCCACTCACAGAATCGACGGCGTGGTTCGTAATCTCTAGGTATTATCTCTTGAACCCGCAAAAAGTGATACGGGTGCTGGCCTTCTTCACGGAGCATGTTCCATACGGTAACGTGACTTATTCCTAAGTCACGACCTGCGTCGCGTGTGCTCGCGTGTGGATTCTCGTGGAAGTAGTCAAGTATTCGTCCTTCAATATCGCCGGAAAACCGCGGCCTGCCGGTATCTGCTTGGGGAGGACGAAACTGACCATAATCTAGTAAACGCTGGTAAGCTCCCAGGATTGTCTGCAAAGCCGGTACACGTCGTTGAGCACCATACAGTTCCTGGTACATAGTACGAGCTGCAGATAAATTTTGGCCACTTCTAATGTAACACACTATCATGTCTAAGTACTTGCGGTTACTGTACATAAACGGCATTATTGAATAATAAACAATAAAAAATGGCGCGTGCGATTGATCGGACACAACACTGAATGACACTGAACGACACTGAGCGATACACCATTCCCGCGCAACAGCCATCGGTCAACTGGCGAACTCGATCGCCAGGCGATCGAGTGAAAGAAGTGAGAGAGATAGCGCGGCAACTAGCGATCGGGAGAGAGAGAGGGAGAAAGAAAGAGAGATTGTGATAACATGGGGCCGGTGACGGAGCGCCGTAACTTCGCTCGGGCCGCAAGCGCAGCCCCGCGTACAGATTGCACAAAAAAGTTTAACGAACTCCTTTATTTTTGTTAAAATAAAAGTAATTTAATTTTTATTTATTTTTTTGATATACGTGTCTATTTACTGATTCCCACCAACCTCATAAAATATTTAGAGCGAATTTATTAACACCTTATATAACTAAGCACATTTTTCCACTTACATTACCTAGCAGAGGGAATTTATTTCCCTGAGGACGACTATTGGATATTGATTTAATCAATTCAGTTAACAGGAATTAGTGTCTTTAATTGCGGAGGAGCGGAGAATTTACATTCAACAGTTTTTTATTGGCAGTCAAAGTCTTAACATTGTAACGACTCACATTGTTATCTTCTAGCGACACACTCCGGTGGTGGTGGTGGTGACTTGCATGTTCACGGCCACGTGACCTGCACGGCGTCAGCGCTGCAGGACTACACGGCGATCTCGAATACCTCGAACTCAAACGACTCCGATGTCCCGAACTCGAACGACTCCTTCAACTTGAACGTCTTTGATGTCTCCGACTCGAGCGATGCTTACTCTTTGGTTCTCCGTATTTATTTGAAATACTCGTGTGGCAGCGACTCTTCTTCGTTTTACTTTTATTGTGTCGACTATCGCCCATCATAATAAAACAATCGCGCGACGTAATAAGTTGTATCACCTTCGTGTTATGAATAATCATGCTCGCATTAAGTCTTTTATTTTCGTCGGTATGCGAATTACGCTATAATAACGAATGCGTAGATTTATGGTGCCACTTCTGATCTAAAAGATATAAAATTTCTTCACAACCACTTTTTTCTATAAAATACTTTAATTTATAAAGTAGCCAACTAAAATACAACATAACTTTTTTTTTTTTTTTTCTTCTTTGGCAACTGAAATACAACATAACATATTTCAACAAAATTATGCTTAATGTCAAAACTTTTTGACATTGACATCTATATTCGCGCCTTTTTGGCTGTGTTGCCAGGCGTCAATATCAACCATAAGGAAATATTATGTGGATGCTAACACTTTGCTAACACACTATGCTAACGCACACGCTTGCGTTGTGTTTCGTCGTGTGAGTGAGGCTACCGGAGGCCCAATTACCCTCTCCTTCCCCAATCTCCACAATCCCTGAATCCCCAACGATCCTCAAACTCCTAATCCCCAAAAAACCGGTAAAGCACTTGTAACGCCTCTGGTGATCCAGGTGTCCATGGACGACGCCGATTGCTTACCATCAGGTGATCCGTCTGCTCGTTTCCGGCTTTATGCCATAAAAAAATAGAACCAGAAGGTGGAGGGGTATTCGGGTTGGAGTAAGAGCTCCTACCTTGAGCCTTAATTGTGACACGTACTTTACTTAGCGTACTTTCGCTAAAACGCCTTTAGCCGTTTTTTTAAATTTAGGGTGCAAGATAGTGGCTTCAGCCAACAAAACATTATTTTCTATTTCAAAAAACCTATGCACCATTTCATTTCGCAAATTGGTTAATAAATTTTGTATGTCTGGGACATAATCTTCAACAAATTTAGCTAATTTTATGTTAAAAAGGTTAACAAAAACTATATATTTAAAAGCAGTGACGTACTGCTCACCACTCACTTCAGTTGTCACCTCAAAGAAAAGTTTTAAAATTGGCAACGCCTTTTCAATTGTGGACCAATCTTCCTGTGTGTAACATAGTGTAAGTAACTACTTAGTAGTAATAAAAAAAAACAACCTAAATATAAATTGTAACAATTAAGTGATGCGGACAACCGCATTATTTTATATATATGGAGTAACAGGTTCTTCGTCGCGCCCCGCCACCCGGCCGCGCGACGAGCCGGCGCGAGCGCAAGCGAGACGACATTCCGCTGCCAAGCCTCTTGAGGCACGGACGCTGTCGCTCTGATCAATAGCATACTTACCGCCATTGCATAATTCGCAATGCCATGAATAATTATAAAATATTTTGAAACTGGATTGCTTATCCATACTCCTAAAATAAATTAAGTACCTATAAGTGATTGTGATTCCCAAACTTGGGTAAGTTGTGCACAATTTTATATAAAGAATTTTAACGGCTATTACCTACCTTTTTTTTATATTCGTTGCGTTAATCTTAAGGTACGGGCCTGTCTAACTATCTTAGCTTATTAATTTCTATCCTTGTGTAATGTTTTGCTTTTCCTTCACTATGTTCTTAGTATATGCTTGTAACCGCCTCTGCTAGCGACCATTACCTACAGTGTCGATTAAGAATCACGCCTGGAATTCCTCCCGCCTTTGTAAGCCCTAATTTGCCAATGTAGTTCTTGCCATGCATACCTAGCGTTTCCCGTGCACCCCTTATACCGGCAGCTTACTGATGTGGCCTTTGTCACCAGGAATTGCGCCACGGTTTCAATAACCGAACCAGACACCGAACCTGTCACAGCACCTGAGTGGAGTGGCCGAGCTGACGGAACTACGCCTGGAGGACGGGAGCTCGCCAGGGAAGTGTGGAGGACTAAGCAAGTGCTAAAGACCTAGGCAGACGCTTCATTTTTTTTGTAATATACCCACATACCTTATTAATTCTAAACCTAGTTTTATTTCTCTCTTGTACACGTCTTACAACCGTGACAAGCGCCAAGTAATCTCGCACTAGAGCGAGAGTGGCCATTATAGCACTCTTTATTTGATGGAGCCGCTGAAGCATGTCAAACATGGAGTTTCATCGCGTCGCCACATATTGTTTTGGTAAGTTCCATGCTCATTTGCTTCTGAACTTCCGTCAGTTTGGTCCTACCAGTTTGGCTCTGATGAAAATACTCTACAATATGCGTTATTTTCATCAAACTTCTTCCTATCGCGGGTAAACTAGTTTGCACTACTAAATTTAGACAGTTTGCAAAACAGCGCACAGATCGCCCAGCCACCCTGGTGCACAGCTCTCAAAATGTTGAACGCATTATCGCTGACTTCCAAATTTATTTTATTATCGATTTGCTACTCTATTAGTTTTTGTTGTAAAAACTCTTTGTGATTAAAACTAGTTTGCCACTTTTCAAAATGAATACATCCGATCATTATTGATCGATTGCTATTTTTCCTTGGTCAATAAAGTGGGCAGTTATTGCTATGTAGCCATCGTTGGTTATCGATGTCCATCCATCAATGTTTATACAGACAGCAGTTGCCTGTGAAATAATCCTTTTCGCCCCTTCCATGAGTTTATTATATAATTTAGGCAAAAGGCTTTCAAATACTGTCGTTCTAGTGGGCAATATGTAATTTGGGTTTAACAGTTCAACAATTTTTTTGAAACTCCAACTCTTTGGCCGTCGTAAATGCGTGATAGCCCGCTTTCATTTTGACCAACTGGTCATCAGTAATCCGAAGTTTATTAGGCGGTAACGGTTTTTTTATAGATACAAAATCTCAAGTTTAGAAGAAAGGTTTTGCCGGTACCTCCTGGAGCATCCAAAAAGAACAAACCACCTTCACCACTGGCAACTTTGTTGATTTTTGTCTCAAAGACTAATCTTTGTTCTGGATTTAAAAAGTGGAAGGGCCTCTGTTATTTGTTGCTGTAACAAAACTGGATCATAATTTAGCTCTTGCATTAAATCATTACTGACTTCCCCAATTCTTTGTGGTCTGCTCATATCAAAATCGGATCAATATTTTAATCAAAAATCATGAAATACCTCCCACGTATTACGTCTTTGTGATTGCCGTGCAGCTAATAGAACACGTCGTCTTTGAGATTTTTCATGTGATTCTGCAGAAATAAGAGACGCATGACGTTCAGCATCCAAAAGCCGACGTACTCGAGTTTGATCTACAGTTTCGGAAGCTCTTTGAGTAGCATGACGCCTGGCGTCTAAAGGCCGTCGCTCCTGCCTCAACTCAGTCTCAGCAGCTCTTTGAGCAACGTGACGTTCGGTGTCTAAGAGCCGGTGCTCCCGAGCCATCTCTTCTGTTTCAGCAGCTCTTTGAGTTGCATGACGCCTAGCATCTAAGAGCCGGCGCTCCCGAGCCATCTGTTCTGTCTCAGCAGCTCTTTTAGCAGCATGACGTTCGGTGTCTAACAGCCGGCGCTCACGACTCATGTCAGCGGTCTCAGTAGCTCTTTGAGTTGCATGACGGCCGGCATCTAAGAGCCGTCGCTCCTGCCTCGGCTCCTCTGTCTCAGCAGCTCTTTGAGCAGCGTGACGTTTGGTATCTAAGAGCCGGCGCTCCCGAGCCATCTCTTCGGTTTCAGCAGCTCTTTGAGTAGCGTGACGCCCAGCGTATAAGAGCCGTCACTCCTGCCTCACCTCTTCGGTCTCAGCAGCTCTTTGAGTAGCGTGACGCTCGGCGTCTAAAGCTAAACGGGCTTGAGTCTGTTCTTGAGACTCTTGACTTCTTGTAACTCTTTTAGCTCGAGCTCCGCTGGAACTACGTGCTACATTGAACTTGCGTTATCTCGTCATTGAAAAAACTAGTTAAAAAAAGAACTTAAACTAAAGAAATATTACAATCATTCCGAATTTAAATAGAAAACTAACTGAAAACAAAGAATTAAAAAAAAAAGAATTACGAACTTTGATAATAATTTTAAAGAAATTATACGTATATTATATATAAATTATACGTGTATTACAACTTATTCCCTTAATAACCAAGCTTAAAACTTAATAATTTAAAAGGAACGATCTAATTAATTTAAAAATTAAAATGATTTCAAACTAAACATACATTATACAACAACCAGACAACCCAACAAATAAACATTTTAATAGACAAATACAACGAAACCAACTTTGAAAACAACAACCAGACAACCCAACAAATAAACCTTTTAATCTACTATTACAATGGAACCAATTTTAGATTTACAAAACGATGAATCCACAATTCCACGACAGTACCGAAGCGCTCGGTCGATATCCAACCAAATGCGTGTAACGAAACCGTAGCGCGATCTATTTCGATCCCAATGCCATCTATAGACCATGTGACAACTCGGATTATTTATTACACTCCGCGGGCATTTTCTTTGTACTAAAAGTTTTATTATATTGATATTATTTTTTTTATACCTTTTTACTATTTATTTACTTTTTTCCGATGAATTAAAACAATAACATGAACCGAACTCGTGTAACGATCGACATCATTGCGCGATCACCAACTCGACTTTAAGTACTAATAGAATTATCTATACTCCGTTTTTTTTTGTGTTTTTAAGGGGAGAAAATCATCGAATGACTGCTCCCGCCTGGGTGAGGCGGGAGGGAGTGTCAGACTCTTACTGACTAAAAACCACCCCGTTCCTTCTCCTGCACGTCGAGTCGGAGCCCCGGTTACCCGTTAGGTTCTCCGCGACTCCAAATCGGCATCGGCCCTATTGGGCCCCATCTGTGGTGGTCTGATGGCTCTTTGAGGCGCGCGCGGAACGCGACGCGCCGTACGCTCAGGTCTGTTTCTGGTAGGACGGGGAGCCACCCATGCTCACCGTCCGCAGGCCCGCGCTTACGGTGGCCGGACTGGCCGGAGATCGTTCGCGATCCCCGACGCCCGGTGTGTCCTTCGCGATGGCTGGGTTGCGAGGAGGCAGCGCTTCGCTGCCTCACGCGTCCCGCCTCCTCCTCAGCTAACATAACTGCTTCGCAAAAGGAGGAGACGGCATCCCAGTCCCCCTCGCTCCGCATCATGGCCTGTACTAGGCCCGGACGCGAGAGGTCGCCATCGCCGATCACTTCCCTGAGGGCACGGCGGTGCTCAGCCCACGCAGGGCATTCCGCTACAGTGTGTTCCACCGTGTCCTCAGGGCGAATCTATACTCCGTTAGAGCATTTTCTTTGTACTAAAAGTTGTATTATATTTTTCATAGTTTTTTACTATTTATTTACATTTTTCCGTTGAATTTTCAGTACTGAATTGATGCCGACTCTTGACCAATAGATGGCGCTGTATGTCTGGTATAAATTTTATTATATTTTTTGTACTGCCTCGTTGGCCGAGTGGTCGCAAGTGCGACTGCCGAGCAAGGGGTCTCGGGTTCGATTCCCGGGTCGGGCAATTATTTTTATTGGATTTACTTAAACAAAATGGAACAAGTATGATATGTAGGTACGTCACATTATGCTATTTCGTTAGGTATTAGTATAACAAATACTACTGTTGGTGTTTCTTCGGACGCCTTATTAATGCCTTTTACTGTTAATGTAATACACCGCATTTGAAAATACAGTATTTTTGTATGATCCAATAGCTCTGTTCTCATAAAACAATCTAGTGCATTTTTTTAAAGGTTTATCGCGGTAATCACATTTACTAAATTAATTCTCATTGTATGAATCGTATGATAGTACGGTGTACATGGCTGCATAGAACGTAAAAATACCTTTAATTTGGTACCTAACACAGTGTGCGTCAGGATTGCTCCGCCAAGTTATCAAATCAGAAAATGGTTTCAGCCAAAAATTTGTCGATATTTGTCAAAATCGAAAGAAACAAACCCCGTATTTGTCAAAGCAGAAATAAAGAAGTTATAAGCGTTTTAAGTTGGCCGCGCAATCCTGACGTCAAGGACTGCGCGGCCACGGAGATCTCAGCAACTACTTGGGATAGAGAAATAATTCCTTTTGTCAACTCAAGTCTGTATTTGTCAAGATTTGTCGAAAAATGAATCAAAGCTCTATATCAATATTATAATTAAATATTCGCCTTGAAAGTCATGGCCGCGCAGTCTTTGATTTGCTATTTTGTTTTTAGTATTTTTTTTATTAAAATTGAAGACTTCATATAGTATATTAGTTAAAAGGAGAAAGGTCTTAATTTGTCGAAACTGACAAAAGCTTTAAAATACGACTAAAGTGTAATTAAACAGACGAAATCAATTTAAAACACAAAACTCGTGGCCGCGCAGTTCTGACGTTACTTTAAACCATGATATCTCAATAACTATAGTAGCTAGGATTTTGCTGTAGACGTCCATATAATCCTCATATTAACCCCATTAAAATGACATATCCTTTTACCCTCAACACTGTTTGGGACGCGAGTAATCTCAAGAATTATGTTACCCCATACAATGTTCTAGTAGAGTGACCATAATTTCAAGACAATACAGTCTAAGCGCATTTCTGTTCTGGTTTCTATTGTTAACTGATAAAAAACTTTTTTAATATTTAGATATTCTTATACATTATAAACAAAATGTACAGAATTATATTAATAGAATCTTGCAAGTTACTGCTCGTGGAAATGTTAATTATATCTAAAATAACGTTATAAATAGATATACACTATTTTAACAATTACTTACAGTAGAAGCACTAAAAAAAATATCATTTAAGACGTGCTCAAGAATAAATGCAGCGTTACATTCACAATTATAATGATATATTTTAAAATATATCGAAGCAATTCTTATTCTTAATCTGTTTGATTCTTCACTGTTAATATAACGCTGTTATTAATGAAACTACAGGTAGTTGGGTGCAGAGTGACGATTTTTATTCGTTTTAAACAAGTACACATAGTTCATACTAGATGGCACTAGTAGCACCTATAATTATTATTTTGTTATCTATTTCAACATCCTCTCTTAACAAAATAATCAGTCAATTCTAATAAAGTTATAATTTGCAACTTACTTTACAACATGATCTTTGATAAACCCATTAACTTTAAAAATTTGTAATGTTTATTAACACAAAGACTTTTTGTCAGTAGATCAGCTGGCATATCTGAAGTCGGCATATATTCTAATTTAACTCTATTATTAGATACACACTCTCTGACAAAATGGTGTCGTACATCGATATGCTTTGTTCTTTTGTGGAACAATGGATTAGCCGCTAACTTAAGTGAACTTTGACTAACACTATACAAGCATATCGGTGAACTGTCACATAATTTCAATACATCATAATATACATTTTGCAAATAGATTGCTTCTTTACAAGCTTCACTGAGGGCCATATATTCACTTTCCGCACTAGATAAGGCTACAGTTCTTTGCTTCCTTGACTCATAGGATATCACACAACCTGACATCATGAAGCAAAACCCAGTATATGATCTCCTATCCAAGGTGCATGATGCCCAATCAGCATCAACAAATCCATGCAAGTTACAATTATCTTTCTTATATACTAGACCATAGTTTTTAGTTTTATGCAAGTATCTTAATAATCTCTTTAAATGTTTCCAATGAATTTCATTGTAACAATTATTATATTGACTGAGGAAACTTACACTGTATGCTATATCAGGTCTTGTCAGTACAGACAGATACATGAGACTACCTATTAATTGTTGGTAGGGGTACCTCTTATCATAATTATTACTCTCACCTTTTTCTAATTTTAAATTTACTTCCATGGGAGTTTCTGAACCATGACAATCGAACATGTTAAACTTGTTTAAAATATGATTTACAAAAAGTTCCTGGTCAACAGTAATACAGTCCTTCTGAACATTCACTCTCATTCCCAGACACTGCTTGATCTGACCTAAATCTTTTATTTTAAACTTATTAACAAGTTCAGTCTTCAACTGTTCATAAGAATTTTTACAGTTATAGAACACGAAAAAATCATCTACAAATAATGCAACAAAAATTTTTACATTATCATGACATTTTATGAATAAACAAGGTTCATTTTTTGATTTCTCATAACCCAAATCTAACAAACATTCTTCTACTCTGGTGTACCAGGCCCTAGCAGATTGTTTGAGACCATAAATTGCTCTTTTTAATTTTAAAACCTTATTTTCACAATTTACAAAAGATGAACATTCAGGTATTTCCATATACACATTTTCTTTTAAAAAACCATTTAAAAATGCAGTAGGTACATCTAGGTGCTTTATATTCAGATCTAGTTTTACACTTAATGCTAACAATAGTCTTAGAGTGGAATACCTTAACACTGGACTGAATGTCTCGTTAAAGTCTTGACCTTTCTTTTGTGTAAAGCCTTTAGCAACTAGTCTTGCCCTAAAGCGCACTTCACCATCACTATTAAGCTTTTTCTTAAACACCCACTTATTTTTCACTACTGTGCCTTCTTGAGGCCTATTCACTAGCTCCCAAGTGTCATTGTCTATGAAAGATTTTATCTCCTCTTCCATTGCACGTTGCCACTGCACTTTTTCTGGTCCACTTACTGCATCACAGAAGGAAATTTGATCACCCATTCCATTCTCAACACACATGTTTGAGAATCCGTAGTAGTCTGGGCAACGCCTGACA